AGATCGAATGGACAAGGCTGCAAAAATAGTGGTCGGCGATGGTTTTAGGATTTTTATTAAACTCAAATGAACTTATTTGGAAAAACCGTTTTTTTTTAAATAAAGATAGACTTGTAAATAAATATAGGTCAAATTATTTATTTTTCAAGCAATGTAGTTCTTTAAATTTTTTAATTATAAACGAAAGCACATCTGCTAATTTAAGCAATAGGAAATACATTTTTTTATGTTAAACTATATTCGTGTAACATAAAAATTCACTGTCTTAGGACATTTTTTAAGCAAACCATTTACAGTTTTAGAATTATATCTATTTTTGCTTTAACACTTTGTATATATCATATTTTTACCAAGTAAAAAAATTTGAGTTTAATAACAACCTGGAGGCATTGAAGGCTTGCTATTGAAACGGAATGAGACGTTGAGTATTGAGGTCAGAATGAAAGCTCGTCGCCGGGAACAGAAGATTTCCGGAATTAAATATACCGGGTGTCGCGAAAAAAATGGTTTTTGGACCTTGGATGGGAAAGACGAGACAACGAATGAAACATGGGGCTTCTGTGACTTCAATTAGAGGTGAGTGTTTATTAATTTCTTATTTCGTTTCTCCGAAAGAACAATGACACAGGTGAAAATTGATGATTCCGCAACAATCGCAAATTTAAAAAATATAATATGAAACTTACAACTGAGTCTCAGAAAACTGCAGAGCCTTTTGGCAAAGTTTCGTTTCCCAGTTTAATATTCAATAAAGATGTTCAAACTAAATTTGTTTTCAAAAATTGACAACATCAAAACATACATCGTAAGATACAGTGTCCTTCATAAAAATCTGATGTATCTAGTTATTATAGGCTTTTTCCGGTTATTTTGTACAACCTATTGCAGCATCTCTATAAATGTTTAGAGGATAAACTAAATATATACATTGTCCACATGCATCTACCTCGAAACATTTTTCTATAGATATTCATTGAAAACGAAAATACTGAAAAATTTAAATTTAGCACTTTCCCATTACGGTCCATTTTAGAAGAATCATGTGTAAACAAAAATTATAGAGATCGATATCGCAAACAACTTTTAGTTCAACAATTTTCATAAAAATCAGAATTTTGCACATTTTGTCAAATTTTGTATAGAACAAAAATTATAGATAATTATATTAGAAGTAACTTTTATTTGAAGAATTTTCTTCTCCAAACGTAAATAACAGATATATTCCATAAAATATAAAAAAATCCCACTCGTCAGATGATTCCGTATTTACATTAAATATCAAGGAATCTGTATATTCATCCATTAAGTGTTCTTTATGAATATACGCATCCTCATATTTCGAGTAGTGATCAACCACGTTTGCCTATTCCTTGGGGGTGACGCATTAGAATCGGTGGATGGGGCATTCGGGATCTATTAGATACCGTGGAAAACTATCACATAGAAGAAATTCTTGAATTTAGGCGGTAATCGAGCGTGATGAAATCTTCTCGACTTCAAATCAATTTTCATGAGAATACCACTCAATTACTACGTCCCAAACAAGATTTTCTGGCCCTTAAGGGGTCGTTTTCCCGGTCCCAAAGGGGGAATTCCAGTTGGCCATAAACTTTTCGAGCAAGGTCTGAGTTCGAGAACTAGGACATAAATAAGGACATAAAATACCACTGTAGCGATTGCAACGTCCGAAGCACGATTTTTCGGTCCCTAAGGGGCGATTTTCTCGGTCCCAAACGGGGAATTCCAGTTGGCCATAAACTTTTCGAGCACGGTTTCATTCCAGAATTCGAAAGTACATAAAAATACCACTGGTGCCATTGCGAGGTCCGAAACACGATTTTCGGCCCCTACCGGGCCATTTTTCCGGCCCCTACCGGGCCATTTTCCCGGCCCGCACGGGGAATTCCAGTTGTACGTGAACTTTTCGACCAAAAACCCGATTTTGGCTAAAGAATGCACCACTCCTCATCTCGGAATCCACCTATCATGCCATATAGAGGCCATTTTTGGCCCCTGGTGCCAATTCCAGACGTGGAGGGCCATTTCTGAGCTCGGGATCGGATTGAGCGTCAAAAAATACATGGGAATACATATGTCCGACCGCCAAGTCTGATCACTTTTTTTTATTTGTGGGGCTGTGTAATAATATATTCTTGATAGCTGCTGTTATGTGAGTGAACTTAAACAGTAATTATTATTTTTTAAAAGTTATTCAATTAAAACTGTGAGTATATACTAATTTTTAAGAATGGTTTATAAAACTTACGTTTTTACTTTTTAAATGATTTATTTAGGTATAAATTGTACTTACCAAAATATACACAAAATCGAATAGTCGAAAAACTAAGAAATAAATGTTTCTTTGGATCAAATCGAAACACTAAACACAAGAAAATAACAATGACAGGAAATGCAATAAATAAAACTCTTACTACGCTACTGAATGCAACATTTGCAGTATTATAAATAAGACGCTGGGAGGCACATACTTTGATTTTCTTTTACTATACGGAGAATGGTCGCACTGCGCAGCTTTCTGAGTGCCTTTTAAAAGGAGATAGAAAACTCCGCCATTTTGAACCCTTATTACGTGTTGTCTACATCTTGGCGCAATATTTTTAATAGGTGCGTTTTAGTCATCCGCTTCTGCTTCGGAATTGTCGGTTTTCTTGTTTTAATCTGACAGGTTAGAACGACTGAACCGACAATACTGGAAGCAGAAGCGGATGATTAAAACGCACCTGATATTTTGCTTGCTGCTGTCAGTGAATATTATTTTTGAAGTCACAGTTTATTGCTAAAGAATCAGTTAGCTCACTCGGACCAGTTGAAAGTTCCAAAATAACATCCACTCCAGGGATACAAATTCAGGATACGCAGAAGACTGTTGTTTTATTATAGGCGGTTGTTATATATTGTATTATCTGAGTTGCGCAGTGTATAAACTGGAACATTGAGATAAAAAGTGCCGACGCAGAGTGAGCGATCTGATTCTTTAGCTATAAACTGTGTCATAGGGTTCAAAATGGCCGCGCCCTATGTTGGGCGTGTCGGACCTCTCTCTTGCCCCGTATAGTAATCAAAGTATGTGCTGGGAGGCACATACTTTGATTTTCTTTTACTATACGGAGAATGGTCGCACTGCGCAGCTTTCTGAGTGCCTTTTAAAAGGAGATAGAAAACTTCGCCATTTTGAACCCTTATTACGTGTTGCCTATATCTTGGCGCAATATTTTTAATAGGTGCGTTTTAATCATCCGCTTCTGCTTCGGAATTGTCGGTTTTCTTGTTTTAATCTGACAGGTTAGAACGACTGAACCGACAATACTGGAAGCAGAAGCGGATGATTAAAACGCACCTGATATTTTGCTTGCTGCTGTCAGTGAATATTATTTTTGAAGTCACAGTTTATTGCTAAAGAATCAGTTAGCTCACTCGGACCAGTTAAAAGTTCCAAAATAACATCCACTCCAGGGATACAAATTCAGGATACACAGAAGACTGCTGTTTTATTATAGGCGGTTATCATATATTGTATTATCCGAGTTGCACAGTGTATAAACTGAAACATTGAGATCCAAAGTGCCGACGCAGAGTGAGCGATCTGATTCTTTAGCTGTAAACTGTGTCACAGGGTTCAAAATGGCCGCGCCCTATGTTGGGCGTGTCGGACCTTTCTCTTGCGCCGTATAGTAAAGAAAATCAAAGTATGTGGCTGGGAGGTCTGTGACCACGCCTACTGCCTATAAATTCAATTTGGTTTCTGCGCATTGTAAAGTAATGTACTCTACAGATAATAATCAAGCTCTACCATCGACTCCAGCATCAGCGACTCTTAACACTAATTTGCTAACTCTAACAATAGGATGATAACATATTGTGAAGCATGTTGCTTTTCAAAAGTCAACAGTAATACCGAGAGTAATACATACTGCGAAGCGTCCTGCATTCCAACAGTAACCATAATAACATTCTGTGAAGCGCCCTTTTTTTGAACTCAACCCTTTTAGTTATTTGTTTTTATTTAGTAATGACCCACATACTTTGATTACTATACGAGGCAAGAGAGAGGTCCGACACGCCCAACATAGGGCGCGGCCATTTTGAACCCTGTGACACAGTTTACAGCTAAAGAATCAGATCGCTCACTCTGCGTCGGCACTTTTGATCTCAATGTTTCAGTTTATACACTGTGCAACTCGGATAATACAATATATGACAACCGCCTATAATAAAATAGCAGTCTTCTGCGTATCCTGAATTTGTATCCCTGGAGTGGATGTTATTTTGGAACTTTCAACTGGTCCGAGTGAGCTAACTGATTCTTTAGCAATAAAATGTGACTTCAAAAATAATATTCACTGACACTGACAGCAGCAAGCAAAATATCAGGTGCGTTTTAATCATCCGCTTCTGCTTCCGGTTTAGTCGTTTTAACCTGTCAGATTAAAACAAGAAAACCGACAATTCCGAAGCAGAAGCGGATGATTAAAACGCACCTATTAAAAATATTGCGCCAAGATGTAGGCAACACGTAATAAGGGTTCAAAATGGCGGAGTTTTCTATCTCCTTTTAAAAGGCACTCAGAAAGCTGCGCAGTGCGACCATTCTCCGTATAGTAAAAGAAAATCAAAGTATGTGCCTCCCAGCGTCTTATTTATAATACTGCACAGATTCCCATAAATTCATATTTTAACTAAAACACCGCATACACTACAGACCCCAACCAGTTTTCCAATATTTGAAAATTTAAAAATTTTTGTTTATAAATATATGTTTCCGCCGATTTTTAAAAACTGCTGGTGAACAAATGTTATTGTGACATCCTGTATCTTTGTTCTATTTATAATTATAGACTTCTTTTAACCTATTGTTAACTGCAAAATATATATTTTTCGATGTTATATAAAATTAGAATTGTTAGATATCCAATACAGCTAAATTTATCTAAAAAAATCAAACTGCATCTTTGTTTTAGTGACGGTGTAATTATTTATATTATTTCGTTTTGTTTATTAAACTTATCTGATGAGTAATTCACGATTTTCCTTTCAACAAACAGATGTTTATTCACTTTGTCTTGAATTTGTAATGTTTATAAGATAAAGGTAAGTGATTTTTTTTACATTTTACAATTTACTTCCGAAATCAACATAACGGTATAGTAGATATATATTTTATAATAGGGTCCAGAACATTAATTCACTCTTATTTGGAATCCCAGGCTACTTTAAACTAGGTTTGTTAGGTTGCGTATCAAAAAAAGAAATTGGCAGTTAGCATGTTACTGAAACTAAAAACTAACCTCTTTTTTTGTTTGTCGCATTAAACGTCAATTTTTTATTGTTTTTGAAGTTGGTTAACAAAAACTTTTTAATACATAATTAAAAGATTGTTTTGCCTAACAGACACATATATAACAATTCGTAATAGAGCCTTGACAAACATCAAATTCAATAATTTAAAACATTTATATTATATAACTTGAAAATTATTAAAATGTAAATGATATACACTACAGGACTTAGGACTATTATTTATAGCCGTCAACATGACCGTTCCTAGGGTAGCTGCCGCCCGTGTGCGGGAAAAATTCCCCCCCCCCTTTCATATCATATGAATTATAAATATGTTTATCTTATAAAAAAAAAATTACAGAAAATATAAGAAATTTGGTTGATTTCTTAGTATTACAACCTAACATACTAATAAATTATTAATTTAATAATTACCAAATTTGAAAACAGATGGATGAGGTTATTTGGAAATAAGTATTGAATTACATTTAAAGCGTTCATTTTAGAGAAAATATAGGGTGCGACATTGTCAATTTCATCACATAAATCTGCAGCTATATATATATTTTTTTTATTTTTAGACCACAATAATAGATTAAATTTAAATATTTCTTCTCTCTAGCTTTTTCTATCTACGGTTGTGTCATTTTCTTTCAATTTCTTCTTAGTTTTTTGTAATTATTTTAGGCATCCTTTACCATGTCTATTTCTCGTCTATTCCTCCTTTCCCGCTTCTTCTGAGTGTATTCTTCTAATATTACTACTACTTTTTCTACTTTTTGCATCTTCAGTGAAACTTTCTTATTTTTAAGGGGTAGGTAATTGTTTTAGCACATAGTTTTTAGTACTTGCTTTCGTTTTCTTCTTCAGAGGCATTTTGTAATTTTGTCGATCTCTTTCTTACTTTCTGATGTCTCTTAACTATTCCTTATCACCAGAATCTCATGTGTAATTTTTTAGACATTCTACAAAATCAAAAATATTATTCAAATATTACCATTTAATTATAGGTACAGATATACATAAATGTTGTTCATTTATGTACTTGAAATGTTTGAGGATAATAAAAAATTTACGTGATTTTTTTTAATTTTTCAATCAAATCCTTGACCCTCTTGATGACCATGTACTTCTATGAATTTAAAAGACCCATCAGTTTACCCAAAAAATAAGGTCTTATAGAGGGGATATTGGCCTAAATAAAAAACTGACAAGATATTGCCTAAGAATTTTAAACGATTTTTTTTGAGAAATACGGTGATACGTCTTAGATTTATCGACATTTTTATGATACCATTAAAAGTGAAATAGATATGTAATTTAAGTGGAATTTAATAATTTGTTTAAATATTTTGAAAATAAAACAAACGTAAAATAAGAGAAAATATAACAACAATTTGGGTAAGTTTTTTTATTATTTACAATTAGTTTTTCTAGGAAAACTTTATTTTTCTCTAATTAATACAGGTTTTGAGTATCTTGAGACTAAGTTTAGGGTATTAAAGAAAATAAAAAATAAATAATTTGAGCTTTGGGTTCCAGTTGGTAGTTTTCTTTATAATTTTTTTAATTATTATTTAAATTACTTTTCTCTGGTGACAATACACATTAATATAAATATTTTCTATTATTAGAATATTTTGTTGATCACTACTTTTTGATAAAAAACTTTTAAAAAACACAGAGTCTGACCCTCGCAATTGCATTGAGATCTGATACTATTGTCATTAAATAATAAGATAAAATATAAGATGTTCAGGGTTCAAATAACAAAAAAAAAAAATAAATCAGAAATATTCTAATCATACAAAAGATTTATATTGATATAAAACAAATATGTAGATATTGTTTAACCATGGGAGAAAACTAATATAAATTGCATTTCCATTCATATGTTGAAGAGTCTCTGTTTATGACTTTTGACTGATCTATTGTAAATAACCTTTATTCGTTGTTTAGAGTATATTGTCCATATACTTTGATGACTATACGGTGCAAGAGAGAGGTCCGACACGCCCAACATAGGGCGCGGTCATTTTGATTCATATGCCACAATTTATAGCTAAAGAATCAGATCGCTCACTCTGCGTCGGCACTTTTGATCTCAATGTTCCAGTTTATACACTGCGCAACTCGGATAATACAATATATGACAACCGCCTATAATAAAACAGCAGTCTTCTGCGTATCCTGAATTTGTATCCCTGGAGTGGTTATTATTTTGGAACTTTCAACTGGTCCGAGTGAGCTAACTGATTCTTTAGCAATAAACTGTGACTCCAAAAATAATATTCAGTGACACCACATACTTTGATTTTCTTTTACTATACGGAGAATGGTGGCACTGCGCAGCTTTCTGAGTGCCTTTTAAAAGGAGATTGAAAACTCCGCCATTTTGAACCCTTATTACGTGTTGCCTACATCTTGGCGCAATATTTTTAATAGGTGCGTTTTAATCATCCGCTTCTGCTTCGGAATTGTCGGTTTTCTTGTTTTAATCTGACAGGTTAAAACGACTAAACCGACAATTCCGAAAGCAGAAGCGGATGATTAAAACGCACCTGATATTTTACTTGCTGCTGTCAGTGTCAGTGAATATTATTTTTAGAGTCACAGTTTATTGCTAAAGAATTAGTTAGCTCACTCGGACCAGTTGAAAGTTCCAAAATAACATCCACTCCAGGGCCTCAATTCTCGACTTTTTTTCCCAAGGGAAAAAGATAATTTTCCTATGGGAATTTATATTTTGTATTCTCGACACATCCACTAGGAATATTTTCTCACGAAAAGTATGGGAGCAAATACACCTGGTATTTGGCATGGGAAATCAAATTTCCAATGGGAATCTGTCACCGGTGACATTTGCTAGTTACTTCAAATAATAATATTTATATATTATTATTACTAATATAACTTTCCTAAAATGGATGAAGCTATTTTACTTTCTCAATTAAACAATATAGAAGAGGCAGAAGAAGAGCAATTAATGTCCCAAGAGATTTTTGGTCTAAGTGGAAAAATGAGGCAGGGGATCCCTTTGAATCCTTAAATGATAGACAATTTCTCAAATATGATCAGCGCAAGTTTTCTAGAATAAGCAATCCCAGAATAAATTTTGTTTCATTATTAGGAATAGGCTATTTCAGAATAAATTTTGTTTTATTACGCAAAATAAATAGCAACTGTTAATAACATAATGAGATGGTAAAAAACTTGAAGCTAAAATATTGAACACTCTTAAATATCCTTAAAATTCCTCTGTTTCTGCTATTTTTTCCAAGGCACAAGTTATTTGTTCTTTTGCCAAAACATTTCTCTCTAATAACTTGAATTTTTTGTCATACTAATTTTCTTTATTAAAGTTTTTATTTTGTAACATGCGTTCAATATTTCGGCTAGTATTCAAGGTTTTAGTTAACCTTGTAGCAGCTACTCTTCGTTTGGGCTTTATTGTGCCCCTTGTACTAGGTTTAGCACATTATATATTTTCACATTATTTTCTAAATAAGAAGGGTTGATTGTTTTCTCTGACAAGATGGCAAGTGGCAAAACAAGAGTCAAAAGTTGACGATATAATCAATGATCCCAACATTACTACTTGAAAGTATTGAAATATAATATTGATTATGATTGGTCAGTTTCCAATATTTACATACTTAATACCCGACATACGTTAGACATACGAATAATCGAAATTCCCATAGGAAAAAGGTTCCTAACCTAGTCGAGAATACCATTTTATAATACCACTGGAATATAAGCATGGGAATATTTATCCATGGGAAAATTTTCCGGTGAAGTCGAGAATTGAGGCCCAGGGATACAAATTCAGGATACGCCACATACTTTGATTACTATACGAGGCAAGAGAGAGGTCCGACACGCCTAACATAGGGCGCGGCCATTTTGAACCCTGTGACACAGTTTACAGCTAAAGAATCAGATCGCTCACTCTGCATCGGCACTTTGGATCTCAATGTTTCAGTTTATACACTGTGCAACTCGGATAATACAATATATGACAACCACCTATAATAAAACAGTAGTGTTCTGCGTATCCTGAATTTGTATCCCTGGAGTGGATGTTATTTTGGAACTTTCTGATTCTTTAGCAATAAACTGTGACTTCAAAAATAATATTCACTGACACTGACAGCAGCAAGCAAAATATCAGGTGTGTTTTAATCATCCGCTTCTGCTTCCGGAATTGTGGGTTTAGTCGTTTTAACCTGTCAGATTAAAACAAGAAAACTGACAATTCCGAAGCAGAAGCATATTATTAAAACGCACCTACTAAAAATATTGCGCCAAGATGTAGGCAACACGTAATAAGGGTTCAAAATGGCGGAGTTTTCTATCTCCTTTTAAAAGGCACTCAGAAAGCTGCGCAGTGCGACCATTCTCCGTACAGTAAAAGAAAATCAAAGTATGTGGGATAAGCAGAAGACTGCTGTTTTATTATAGGCGGTTGTCATATATTGTTTTATCCGAGTTGCGCAGTGTATAAACTGGAACATTGAGATCAAAAGTGCCGACACAGAGTGAGCGATCTGATTCTTTAGCTATAAACTGTGACATATGAATCAAAATGGCCGTGCCCCACATACTTTGATTTTCTTTTACTATACGGAGAATGGTCGCACTGCGCAGCTTTCTGAGTGCCTTTTAAAAGGAGATAGAAAACTCCGCCATTTTGAACCCTTATTACGTGTTGCCTACATCTTGGCGCAATATTTTTAATAGGTGCGTTTTAATCATCCGCTTCTGCTTCGGAATTGTCGGTTATCTTGTTTTAATCTGACAGGTTAAAACGACTAAACCGACAATTCCGGAAGCAGAAGCGGATGATTAAAACGCACCTGATATTTTGCTTGCTGCTGTCAGTGTCAGTGAATATTATTTTTGAAGTCACAGTTTATTGCTGAAGAATCAGTAAGCTCACTCGGACCAGTTGAAAGTTCCAAAATAACATCCACTCCAGGGATACAAATTCAGGATACGCAGAAGACTGCTGTTTTATTATAGGCGGTTGTCATATATTGTATTATCCGAGTTGCACAGTGTATAAACTGAAACATTGAGATCCAATTTGCCGACGCAGAGTGAGCGATCTGATTCTTTAGCTGTAAACTGTGTCACAGGGTTCAAAATGGCCGCGCCCTATGTTGGGCGTGTCGGACCTCTCTCTTGCCTCGTATAGTAATCAAAGTATGTGCCGTGCCCTATGTTAGGCGTGTCGGACCTCTCTCTTGCATCGTATGGTAATTAAAGTATGTGACTGACACTAACAGCAGCAAGCAAAATATCAGGTGCGTTTTAGTCATCCGCTTCTGCTTCCGGAATTTTCGGTTTAGTCGTTTTAACCTGTCAAATTAAAACAAGCAAACCGACAATTCCGAAGCAGAAGCGGATGATTAAAACGCACCTATTAAAAATATTGCGCCAAGGATGTAGGCAACACGTAATAAGGGATCAAATAGGCGGAGTTTTCTATCTCCTATTAAAAGGCACTCAGAAAGCTGCGCAGTGTTATAGTCCTAGGTCTTACTGAAGATCAGACTGCGGCACTAGAGGGGTGCATCTACGATGTTCCTTAGTACTTTCTTCTGTTATTGTTGAATAATTTTGTTGGTACAGATCCAAAGTTGGATACCATATTATGTCCATATAGGTTTTGGGATTTGCTTGTAGAGAAGAAATCAATTTGTTGATGAAATATTTTTGTTCTACTTTCTTCCTTGTTTAAATAAATAAATAAAAATAATTATTAACAGACATTTTTACTTTTGCTTGTAGAGAAGAAATCAATTTGTTGATGAAATATTTTTGAAAAAAATTCATTTCTACTTTCTTCCTTGTGTAAATAAATAAAAATAAATATTAACAGACATTTTTACTATGTTCAAAAACATTTAGATCCTATTCTTTTTGTCACATACAGTAAAAAACAAATATTTCAATTAGTGGGTACGCACATAAGTATTACTTAATTATTTATTTTTTTCAGCTCCCCCTCCCCCAAAACTTTCCAATTTAACAAAACTAATTGATACAGTAGTGGTCTTTATTTATTTTTATTTTATTTTTCAGTTCCCTTCGCACAAGTATCCTTCAATGCTTTTCAATTTAACAATACTTATCACAGTATTGGTCATTGCTTATTCAAAAATCTACGAAAGATGTGATTTAGCTAAGGACCTGTTACACGTGCATCATATCCCTAGTGAACAAATACCCACGTGGATCTGCATTGCTAGCCATGGTTCCAATTTTGATACCAGGTACGTAAAGCGAAAGTAACTATAACCAATTTTATCACTAAACTATTAATAAATATGTCAAAAATTCAATAATTATTCCACTTCACTATTAAGGAGATGTTTTGGATGTAAAAAATTATATATACCTAAATAAATTTTACATAATATCCATAGATATATTTCCAATAATATCTAATAGCCACTGTGGATGTAGGAAAAAACCTCAATGGAGGATGTAATATTGAACTTAATAACAAAAGTAATCAGAGTACCTATGTTTATATGAACTTTTACTCCTATTTTAGGATGTCGATCACGCTGTTAAAATATGACCGTCTAATTTTGGGACACCCTGTATATAAGACCACAAAAATATTGGTACAAAAACAACTTTAAAAATATATTACAGCGAGAAAGCCAATCCAGTTTTTTCTAAAATGCATACTTTATTTATAGAGATTTTCTACCTTTTAATTTATTTATGGCCATTTTATTTGTTTAAACACAACATTTTTTTATAAATAATTAATCTTTTTAGGGACGAAAAAAATGTCACTGGAGAGTATGGTTTGTTTCAAATTCCCAGAAAAATATGGTGTGGTAACGTTACCATTGGTTGCAACGCCCTGTGTTCGAATTTCACCGATGACGAAATTGAAGATGACGTCGAATGCGTGAAGAAAATTTATAAAAACAGCGGTTTCGGAGGATGGAATATTTATTATCAACATTGTAAAGGAAACCAAGAAAACTTGATTAAAGATTGTCATTTTTAGGAAATTACTTTGTTTTTATTTTTTATTTGAGTAATTTTTGCAGTCTTTTAACTATTATTGAGCTAAAATAATTTGTTTAGCAGCTTCAATTTATGAAAAAACTTCTCATGAAAGAAACAGTGATATATTATTTTTCTATTGAACAATTAACAACAGTAGCAAAATTAAGGACAATGTTAAAAATTATAAATAGTAATAGTAGTAATAGTAATAGTAATTTTTATTTACCATAAAAAATACAATATTTAAAATACATAGGTATACATTAATTAATAATTTGTTTTGTTGGTAAATAAAAATGAAACCCCACAAAAGGAAAATCCTGAGCGTGGGTGAGAAATTTCATTTTTTATTCCATGCTTCAACAATAATAATTTTGTAAAATATTTAAAATAGGTAACTATTTAGTTATTCTTGGGGATAAGCGCTGAGAGTTTCACGTAATTTCGCGAGTGAAAGAATGTCAGTAATCTTTCAGACTATAACAAAATATACTTGAATGAAGAAATTGTTTTAACTTTGTGAATGGTAAACTTAGAATCCATTCTGTAATTTTCTTTTTATATAAATTATATGAGTTGATTTTTTTAATATCAGAGGGGAGTTCATTATATAATTTAGGGCTCAGATAAGTAAAGCGTTTCTGGCCGATTGTTTTTGCTGTTCTTGGTACAGTAATTGAATCGATTTTGTGTCTAGTATTGTATGGATGGATAACAGGTTCGGAGTATTTTTTATCTTTATATATAGAATAGAATAGAATTTTGGCATACAATTGGTACACATTAAGAAATTGTGTATGCGTATAGAGCATTTCAGTCGGGTAAATTCTTGGTAATTTATACATGTTTTTTAGGATACATTTCTGGATTTTTTCTATAAGTGTTATTCCTGCGGAGCCCCATACAATTATTCCATAGGATAAATGAGATTCCACGAGAGCATAATATAATATTTTAAGATATTTAATATTTAATAAATTCGAAAGATTTTTAAATTTGTACACAATTGATCGAAGTTTTTTTATTACATAATTTATTTGAAAATCCCATTTTAAATGAGAATCTATGTATACTAAGTGACATAGAAAACAGAACACCCAGTATTAATGAATTTATTACAATAATTTTTAGTATACATGTGTTTTTGTGTTAGTTAAGTAATTTATCAAAATGTAAGAAAAATCCAACCGTTGGAAAAAAGTAAAAAATTAATAGTGTGTTGGTCCTCCACGATGTCTTATGCACTCAGAAACACGTCAGGGCATACTCCTAATAAGATGGTTCGATTTCCTTTAGAGGTATCTCATCCCAGGCAACTTGTACCTCATGCTGAAGTGCTGCTAGAGTCTGAGGAGGATGGGGTACATGGAATAATCTTCTTCCCATAATGTCCCAGACGTGTTCTATGGGTGAAAGATCGGGAGATCTAGGGGGCCAAGGCAACAAATCGACTTGATTTTCTTCAAAATGGGCCAACGTAATTCTGGCTACATGTGGTCGTGCATTATCTTGTTGGAAAAGTGGGTTGGGGAGCGTCCGAATATAAGGCAGAACATGTGGTTCCACCACCTCCTGAATGTAACGCACGGCGGTCATGTTGCCTCTGATGAATACCAAAGGTGACCTACTTCCATAAGTAATGGCCCCCCATACAATAATACCGACAGTGTGGTGCACATGCCTTTCCACGAAAAATTGAGGATTCTCGTCTTTCACCACGCCGCCTTCTCACTCTTACACGTCCATCATGCATGCCCAAACAGAATCTGGATTCATCACTAAAGACAATGGTATTCCATTCATGGTCCCAGTTCAGCCGTTCTCTGCACCAAGCCAGTCGATCACTTCGGTGCCTAGGAGTGAGAGGTAGGACAAACTGAGGACGGTATGACGTAAGTCCGAAACTTCTGATACGGCGATAAACAGTTCGCATTGTTATTGGCCTGCCATGTTCTGCAAACCATTGGTCAGCAATTGACCTTGTGGACGTGAAGCGGTCCCGTAGAGCCAAAAGCCTAAGGCGGCGATCTTGGAGTGGGGCCGTTCTTCTGACACGTCCTGTACCTCTAGCTCTTCGTGTACGGCCTTCTTGATTCCATACCCGACAACAAACCACCACCGTATTTACACTTCTGTGCATCCTCGTGGCTATTTCTCTGAAGGACAAACCAGCCTCGCGTAAGCCCACTATTCGCCCCCTATCAAACTCGCTAAGCTGTAGAAAATTTTCTCGTCTTCTCACTCTAGGCATGATAAACAAATCAAAAAAGCTCTTCACAAAGTATTGTACGACGATCAAATGCGAATTGTAGCTACAAAACACAATTATCGTATCTTACTTTTTTGTGAGAACAGGACGATAACACAAAAACCACTCTATCGATATGGCTGTAAAACTGATCGTTTTTTATTCTAACTTAAACAAACATATTCCTAGAAATTCTTTATAATAAATTCATTGATACTGGGTGTTCTGTTTTCTATGTCACTTAGTATATATTCCTAGGTATTTGGTGTTATTGGTAGACCTAATTTTTATTTGTTGATTTCCTTTCTGAATTATTTGAAGGTACTTATATGTTGGTAAATTATTATTATATGAGGTAAAAGGTATGAATGATGTCTTCTCATAGTTTATAGTAAGGGCCTTATAATTAAAAAAGTTAGAAATATTTTGAAAATCTTGTTCAGCGGTATTTTTAAGTGTTTCCCAGTTATTATGTTGATAAAAAATTGAGTTGTCATCGGCAAAACTGATAACTTCTTTGAATTTCTGTTCAAATAGGTCGTTTAAATAAATATTAAACAATAATGGTCCGAGGACTGTTCCCTGAGGAACACCACATTTAATAACTTTGTAATCACTAAGGATATCGTTGATGTTAACCATTTGTTTTCTATTTTTTAAATAGCTACTTAGTAATTTGTACGTTACTCCTCTAAATCCGTAATTTTCTAGTGTTTCTAAGAGTTTTTGATGGTTAACCGTATCAAATGCTTTTGCAAGATCGACAAAAATGCACAATGATGGTTGTTTTTCATCTATAGAATTGTTGATAAATTTTGTCAATCTTGCAATAGCATCCGAAGTTGAGGTTTGTTTTCGAAAACCATATTGCCTATCTGAAAGGATTGCATATTTATTTAAAAACGACGTCATTCTCTTTTCAATAATTTTTTCAAATATTTTTCCAACGCTTGATATAATAGAAACTGGTCGGTAATTAATAACATTAAATGAGTCTCCTTTTTTATACATCGGTATTATTAACGACTCTTTAAGGGAATCTGGAAATATACCAGCATCAATTGATTTATTTATAAGAAAGGTCAATACTGGAGAAATTTCTTGATATAACTCTTTAAGAATTTCGGATGTTATGTTGTCTAAACCTGGCTTTTTATGATTTTTTAGGGAAAAGATAGTTTCTGTAACTTCTTTCTTGTCTGTACTTGATAAAAATATTGATTTATTGTTTTTTCTTTGAAAAATTTTTAATTTTTAATTTCTAGATAATTTTAAGGCCATAGTTTCCCCAACTGTAGTATAATGTTCGCAAAAAATATTTGATATTTTTTCTGGGTCATTTGTAATATCTCCATCTGGAGTCTTTATTTGTGTAATAGATTGTGTTGTTCCTTTTGAATTAGATATCTCTTTAATGCAGTTCCAAATATTCCAAATCTTCAAATTACACTTGGCATTTGTTTATTAATAAAGACCATGGTAAAATAGAAAATACATCGCAAAAACTAGAAATTTCTAGCTTTGCTTTTAAAAAATTCATTAATTTCAATATATAGTTGATTTAAAAATTCTATAGATTCTACAGATAGAAAGATTTTTAAATTGCTACTGACCCATACTAAATCATAAACATCTGCTTTTTAAAGTTGTTTAAATATATTAATCTAGTTTTGTCAAATTCATTAATATTCCACAAAAATTAGAAATGTCAGAATATGGAGATTGAAGCTCAAATATTTAATTAACAAATGGATTGCAATCAACGATAAATATCAAAACTGTTACTAGTTCAAAATCTACAAAATTTGTTGTAATAAATTGATACAATAAAAATAATTAAGGTTTTAAAACAAAATGGTTTGTCTCTTCTTCTCTTCTTTCATTTTCTTTATTTCTTTACTATTTATTTCTATAATTTCATTTATTTTCTATGTTATTTTTTCTTTATCTTGGTTTCTATTTTCAAAATTGTTTTAAATAATTTCTTTTTAATCTTTATTTCTGTTTTCTTCTAATTTGTCTATGTTTTTCATATATCTAGATGGGCATTTTTTAGCTTCTCTCCATTTAAATCGTCAGGACCTGACGGTACTTATCCAGTCCTACTTCAGTATCCAGTATATATAATTGTAGATTGAATATAAGAGGCTTGGTTGCGAGGAGATGTCCAAAGGAAGAAGTGCTATCATCTCTACTATGGAACATGGTCCTGGACATCCTCATCAGCCGCCTCAATATTGACAGTTACTATAAATAGCGTACGCAGATAACCTGGTAGCTCTCCAAACATGAAATTATGAGAACACACTCTGCAAAAGTATGTAAGTAACTTTCAAAATTATAGAACAGTAGTGCAATGATCATTCACTGTCTACCAATCCCGAGAAGACAGAAATGATCCTTTTCAGACGGAAAGGGATAAAAATGGAATTAAAACCTCCAGAGCATATATCGTTTATGAAAAATGCAGCCAAACTATGGAGCATACCTGAATAGTAGTCACATGGACTTACACGGCCATCATAAGACCTATGCTAACATACTTAAGATAAATTAAAGGTCACGTCACATCGAAAGGTAACCGTTTGTTTTCGGCAGTTATCGGCTAATATCGGCCGATATAAGAGAAACAAATCTTGACGAGGTTGTCAACTACATTAAATCTCAGGCCCTACGAGGTGCCTATCATCTTAGGAGGATGCATAATGGGTTAGGGGAGGCCTAAGTGCCGTAAGTTAACCCACTCTCTA